GAAATGCTCGCCTCACTTCATGTTAACAAAGCTATAAAAAGGTAGTACCGTTGTTGAAATTTGATGAGCCAGCCTTTGTGACTTTGAAATAAATCTAATATTTAAAAAAATAATTTCTCCAGTTTGCACTTAACCATAAAAGGGCAGAAAATCTATTTACAGCTTTCCTGGAAACTATAATTGTCTTCAGTATTGACGGATGACTGTGCATTTTATCTCCACCTCCTCTGATTTGATAAAACCTGGACAAAGGGAGAAGTTGTGCACCTACTTTTGTTTACCTACGTTGTGTAACTGAGTGAGTGTGCATGAATGATGTCCATGTGATTGTAGGATACACGATACTTATCAAAGGAGGAACACATTTACTCCTGATAAGCATCACGTGGTATGACTGGATGTTATTGTGAGGTAATCTTTTCCCTTCGTGTTGTTTCTTTCCATCTCATTTAACTTACATCTAAGCCAGAGTATATCGCTAAGAGAGTAAAATGAATTGGGAAATGGTTCCTAACTACTTTACAAGATGAATCAGTATGTCTCTTGTATGTTTGTTCTAGCTCTTTCTGGACTGATTAATGTGAAAAACTCAATCTATTTTCACAGATTGATGTTGGTACCGGCCGGGCGATTGACATCTAACTTTTCAGCTATTTTACGGATATAACTGGTGTGAAAATTTTGAATTTTCATCTCTGTTTTTGTTCTTTTATCATTTTCATGTTTCACTAGAAGCCAAACAAACACCATTCCAGTCATAAAACAAAATGTAATAAAGTCCATATTAAAATAAACAACATGAAGAGTATCATAAAATCCAATAGCACTGGGCTGATAACATCCCAGCATATTACACCGCTGATGGGTTATTACATTATGGACTGGGTATTCAGTTTTTGCTGGATTATACTGAAAAAATTTTCTTAGTACTGTTCATCCTATTAACCAGAATCACCTGTGCTATCTGCAGAGAAATACTTCCCATCAAAGGAAGGATTTTCTCCTGCTTAAAATAAAAATTACCCATGTGCTATATGTAGGAATCATTTTAAAGGATTTATGTTTTCAATAAGATCCAGTGGGATACGGGGAGGAGTAAGGAGTAGTGAACTAACACAATTTTGGTTCTGGGCCTTTTCTTACAGCATTTGCTGTTAAAGCCAAGTGTCTATAGAATGACACCAGCCTTATCCTTTAATAATGAAACAACACCAGCCTCCATTGTAATAAGACACTTGTTGCTTTTAAAGTTACATAACGGAAACAGCCAGTCCAGAGTCCCCATTATGGAACCTATTCTCCCTCTGTGTGTGTTTGTGCATCTCTTTTCTCCCCTTTGCCACTTAACTGGCCAGGCCTGTTTGTCCAGTGTCAGATATCAGCCTGAAAGCAGGCCAAAACAGGGTCTGATTTCCTGCTGTTTTGTCTTCGTATATAAATATATTCGAATTCAGCTTTGCTTTCTACCTGATACTTGGATGATGGAGGAAGATCAGTGAACCACAGCTGCAAGAATGTTACTGACTTTCAGTGGAAAGTATATAACTCCTTTCCACTGAATGTAATTCCATTACTTTTTTCAAGTAACGAGTAAAGCAAGGGGATTAATTAGATTACCGTCACTTTCCACTAAGCATGCAGCGGTACTGCGTTACTAAACCGTGATTTTGTTTGTGAGAGTGTCTCATGACAATGACGACAATGACGTACGAGCGTGTGGCGTCCGTGTAGATCAACAATGGATAATATGGAGTGTGGGACAGCGTGCAACCATGTAGCGTTTAAAGCTTGTAATTACTGACATCACTTTGAGTTTGATTCTGTAAAAAGTGACAAAACCATTAGTGTCTGCTGTTCACTCTGCGTGGGAAGCAACACGCATAAAGTTAAAAGATTAAAACTAATAAAACAAGTTTCAAAATGAGACTTTTTTATTTGATTAAATTTTATATGATGGATTATGCAGAAAAAGTAGAACTGGTCTGAAAAGATAATAAATAAAGTAAAGAATTACTTTTTTAATAAAGTCAAATTCCAAATAACGATGGATCTCGTTCTGCTGTTCTGATCTAAACATGCCAAACAGAAATTAAAGACAACATGTTAACCAGCAGCTGTTTCAATGCTGCTTCTCTGTACTGCTAAAATTCTGGTTTTGAAATACTAATAATAATAATCAGAGTACACCCAAGTAGGGATGGGTATCGTTTAGGTTTTATCTGATACCGGTGCCAAATCGGTACTTTTGAAACGGTGCCGGTGCTTAAACGGTGCTCGAACCGGTGCTCGAACCGGTGCTTAAAGAATGGAGAACACAAACTTTGTCCAAAAACCTCTCATGTTCAGCTGGTTTTTTTTGTAAAAAGATAACAATGTGTGCCTTTTCTGCAGCTATGTGGCATATATGGTATCACTCTTGGCTGGAAGCAGTGCTTAAACAATGGAAAAAACACAAACTTTGTCCAAAAACCTCTCATGTTTAACTGTTTCCCACTTTTTCTTTGGTCATTTTAGCCTTTTTGGCCAGGGTGAAGGGAGTATCTGCCATCAAACAAGAAGACAGCTGCATGTAGCTATGATGATGTTTGCTAGTTCACCTTACATGCATTAATGTAATAACGTGGTTAGCCTACTCAACGTAAATTACACACGAACAACATGAAGCTACTCATGCAGAGAAGAACGGCTGCTGCTGCATCATCATCCTCATCATTTCTGCTACACTGGCGGGGCTAGGGGCCAGGACTCTATTCTTCGGGTTTTTGGGGGATGTTGCTCCGGGTCCGATAACTGGCAACCCACCCGACGTGCACGGTGTGAGGTCTCGCAGCAAGCTATCAAATACGGCGCATTTCTCGGCTTTTAAAAAAACCGCTATGCGTCGCCAGCTGTTTAATCGGATTCTTGGTGTTACCTCCTTTGACAGTATCACAGTATCAGCTTAAAGCACTTGTTGCAGGCTGCTGAGTTTGCATATTTTGCTGTGAAGTACAGCCAGACTTTTGACCGCTTCGCCTTGGACATTTTTAATCTGTAGCTCTGCTCTAACTGAACGTACGTACCTGGCCCCGCCTACTATCCTCGGAAACGTAAAATGATTGGCTAGAAGTGTATCACAGCTCAGGAAAAAAAAGCACCGAAATGTGCGCTGCTTTTCGGTCTGGTTACTACCGTTTATGTCCACCGGACACCGGTACCCATCCCTACACACAAGTTAACAATGACTGTGCTGTGTTCTGGGCTACTTTGACTTGGATGACTCAAAAACAGATTAGACCTGTGTTACAAGAAAGTTGGGGTAAATGTTGTGTAGACAGTATATATTGAGACTAGGGAAAACAAAATTATTGCAGTCTTGTTGCTTTTGAAATAGTTGCCTTGAAGATGGGGACCAGGACGGCGCTCCCCATCCTGCAGTCAGTTGGAGTCTTCTAAGGAGCTTTGGTGATAAAAGATGATCAAGACTGTGATAAAACGGCAATAAGACAGTGATAACTCAGATTAAGTGTCAGAAATTGCTAATCTGTTACTTTCTACATACACAGCTATAGAAATGTAACAGAAACGCACATAAACTGCTTATGTTCAGAGTGAGAACATCACAGTTTTGAACACTAATCCAGAAATTCCTCCACAAATAGTGACATAGTTGCTGCAGGATGCCGACTTAACTGGAAAATGACATAGTTGCTCAGCAACCTTGCTTCTGTATAATAATACAACCAGAAAGCAACCAGTTGAGTCGAGCCTTTTATTGCAGAAAGCTCATTGGATGAGATGACTGTATACACCAGATTAAAAACTTATTCTGGTCTGTTCATAACATTTATCTTAAAAGCTTTTTTGCTTTTACATCGTCGGTTTGTGTTATTTTCACGTTTAACTGAGCTGGCAACTCCCGTGAAACGTGATTCTGGTGAAGACAGCGGATTTAAATTGTGGCAGCTGTTTTGTGATCACGACGGCACCAGTGGTGGCGGTGATAATGAGGAGGATAATGATGATGACGAAGATGAGGAAGATGATCTCAGCGCTGTTTGATGTGACAGTAGTAATGGAGGAGGCTGGTAATAAGTAAGCGGTGCGATAATGAGCCGTTGAAGGCCGGGAGCAACACCGAGAGCTAAAGGTTGTTTGTTGTTTGTTGCTGTGATCGTGACGCACTTCACCTTTTCACGCAAAGGTCTCGACTTCAGTGGCAAGCGAGTGAATAAAAGGGTGTGTGTTTGTTACTATGCTAAACACAGAGATGTTTTGGAGAAATCGTGGTGTGCGTGTGTGTGATCTACTGTAAATGCTGTCTTGTTTTTTTTCGCCTATTATTCGGGTGTGGTCACTGCCTTCGTGATGGCGGGTATGCGATTTTTTTGTGTCTTTTCACGTGTTTGTTAGTTCTTGCAGCGTCCCAATGCTTTATGTGGGCCTGCGTGTGTTTATTAGTCTTTATTGGTTCCCAGTGGGTTGAGCAGAGTTCCTGACCCCATTTCCTGCTGTTGTTGACAGACAGACATTTGGTCCCCAGGCTCCAGAGACTAGACAGTGCCTGGAGGAGCGTTGTGTCACTGCTGGCCACAACTGCTTGATTTGTCATTGGGTCTTTTGGGTCTTTGTTTTTTTTTAATCCGTCATACTGTGATTCAGTACTTGTGGACAATGAGGTCAGGACCTGTCTGTAAGGACTTCCTCGTAATTCATGTTGGTATAATGAGCCACTTTCCTCACAGAGCACATGGAGTTTTAAAAAAAAATCACAGATCTGTGAATTTCACAAGGACTTCAAAGTCACCGAATACAGTGTAACACTAAAAGAGAGTAGAGGATAGCGCATGGATAACAAACCAAACTTGAATTTTGGCAGTTATCCGATTCTGTGTGACAACCAGTGACATCGACACAACATGTGACATTTGCTTCAGAGGATATTCTTGGATACTAGAGTTATTGTTGCTTCCAGGCCGCACAAATAAAACTCTCTGCATGCATCTTCGTTTTGGTTGCAGGTCGCTGCCGGAGTCGACAGGTGGTCTGTCCAACAACGGGCAGGAGAGGGAAGGTGATACTCGGCCTCCTCCCACCCAGCTCTACAGCTGCTATGACCTGGATGACCTGGATGTTGCCTGGCTACAGATAGTCAACCAAGAGTTCAGACAGATGGGTAAGCACTGCATTATTGATAATAATAGCCTGAAAACACTGAGGAAAATCTCACTTAACCTGTGTAAATGTAGGGCCGTTCCACTCCGCTTGCGTAGCGTCAGAAGACTTTCCAAAGGCTGTAAACACGGTTGTAAAGGATGAAGCGCTGGAAATGATGTGTTTTGACTTGTTTTTCGTCTGAGTGTTGACCTCTATGAAGTGACTCACCCCGATGTGTCATAAATGATGTGTTTTCACTTCATGGGAGTTGTTAGCTGGGTAGTGTGTGAATTTCATTCCCCCTGTAGGGCTGAAGCTAAATATCAGAGATTCTGCCCAGGGTTTTATAAGCTTGACAGGAAAGCATGGGAGCGACTCTTTAGTTTGTTTTAAAGAGATATTATTACTTAATTATTTTTGTTGATTTATTACTACATTCAGTTCATTTGGAAAGCTCTCCTGAGGAATGAGACTGGCAGCTGGTGTTTTTAAGTAAAGAATTAATCAGCTAAAGAGGTGCCTTAGCATTTTCTTTTCATTTCACAGGTAGGTCTGTGTTTTTTCTTTTCCATTACCACCCATTTATAGTCTCAGAACCTTTATCTTATAGGTTCCAGCAAACACCAGCCTTTCCTTTCATTTCTTTTTTAAATTGAAAAATCACTCTATTAAAAAAAAATACAGAAAAAGCCTTAAAATGAGGTTTTCTGAAACTTGCAGATGCTGTGAATATGTTGTAGTGTTGCTGTGTGGCCTCTTTTCTTTCTTTTTTCTCCATTCTCATTATTCCTTCCCTTTCGCTTCCTTTTTTCCTGACACTCTCCTCTCTGCTTTTCTACATCCCCCATTTTGCCATGGTGACAACTGCTGACCCCGAGCATCTCTCTCATCTCCGCCACTTTACTCAATATCTGATTGGCTCTTTTCAGATAAAGCATAGTAATTGTGTCTATAAATCCCCGCTGGGGTTTCAGGCTTTATTTCTGCTGCACATTCACTTTAAATCAAACTCGGACGTGCATGCGCATACACACGCGTACTGGCAGAAGCTTCTCATAACCTTCAACGCTAAACAAAACAAACAGACGGCTGATTGGTTCTGCTGGGTGAGGCTGCCGAATCATGATGGGATTATTCAGCGTTTTCTGTCTCAGTGCTGCACATCCTATTTAGATTTATCTGTGTATTTTTGTTTGTGTTCACAATATGCTCTTGGAGACCAAATGTTGATCCTGGACATGCTGCAATCGCTGATTATTTCAGGACTTTTGTTCGATGGTGTTGCATTATTCAGCTTTAGGGTTGTCAAAATTGGCAAAAAGTCTCAAATATACATTTAAAGACCTGGACGGGTACGGCCAATTCAGACACCGCACACTGTTACTGAATTATTCAAGGCCCAAATTGAACTCCTGCAGGCTCAGGTTGCACAATGTACCACTGCATAACTTCCCACTAAGCACACAAACTACTAAAAACTACTAAAGAAGAGTAACAAAGCAAAGAAACTTGGTAAATGTTAAGCCCTAACACTGTTTGCTTTCAGCTGGTAGCTGATTCTACAATATTAGCTTCTCTTCTTTGGCTCCATGTTAAATCAAGAATTGAATATAAAATCCTTCCCTCTACATACAAAGACTTGTATAATCAGACTCTGTCACATGGTACCTCTTGGTACCAGATTATACCAGTAGAGCACTTTCTTAATCATTCAATCATTCATGGCAAGGCAAGGCAAGTTTATTTGTATAGCACAATTCAAAAACAAGGTGATTCAAAGTGCTTCATGTAGCACACCCTTCAGTTTCCAGCACCAGTTTGGGTTCAGAACACAAACACGATCTCTAATTTCAAATTAGGCTTAAAACTTTACTTTTTTTCTTAAACTTATAATCACTGCTGGATGAGGTGACCCTGAATCAGGCACATCATATTGCGCCATCGGCCCTTCTGGCCAACACCAGTAGGCGGTAGGTGAAGTGTTTTGCCCAAGGACACAACGACCGAGACTGTCCAAGCCGGAGCTCGAACCGGAAACCTTCCGATTACAAGGCGAACTCCCAACTCTTGAGCGACGATTGCCCCTTGATGTAAATCCAGGATCAACAGTCCAAGTGACCAGTCACATTGTTGTGATGCCACAGTTTTGCTACCTGGAAACACAATTACTCCTTAACCCCGGACACTTTTTAATTATTATTTCCAGAATAAACAAGGGTGGGTTTTAACCACATCGTAAAAAATATGGCATCACAGCAATGCGATTAATCAGATGCACCAACCTGTCATGGAATGTGGCCCCGCCCCTCCCTGGGCTCGGTTCTGCCGAAAGGTTCTTCCTGTTAAAAGGGAGTTCTTCTTCCCCACTGTTGCCAAGTGCTTGCTCATAGGGGCTTATCTGATGGGTGGGGTTTTCTTTCTTGTATGGTCGTTACCTTACAATCTAACGATCCTTGAAGCAACTGTGAATTGGCACCATATAAATAAAATTGAATTGAATTGATAGTTTTCAGTTATGTTTCCTAATCACACTAGGCTAAATCGTTCATTTTGTTCTCCTTCTCTGTCTCTTGTTCCCTATCCTTTGCTTGGTTTGCACAAACAGCAGCGTATCTTAAGTATGAAGCTGCACGAGATGCACCAGCCTGTGGTGACTTTGCCACACAGTACATGTGGTATTACAAGCGGATAACTTGGAGCCTAACAACTTTTCTTGTGAAAATCCAGCTTTGTGCCGCTGGGACACAGCCAGCTTGTGGCTTGTGCTTTTTGTTTTTTTCCCCCACAAAATCAAATATAATTTTTTTTTAACATTCAATGATATCATACGTGTTTACAATATTTGTTGGCAGCTGTGTTTTGCTGTAGGAAAATGTGTCTTCTTGGAGAAAACTGGGTCAATACAGCAGCTAAATACACATGAATTCTGATTATAAGGATGAGTAACTCTGGGTTACTGTAAGATCAGAGTGTTTAGCATTATGCTGCATTGAGTAGATTAATAGAAATACAATTAGAGAAGTGCATTAAGGCACAGTGTACATGAAAGTTTGAAAGCCAAAGCAGTCAGGCAGACTAGAAGAATCAAAGCATGAAGAAAAGGAAGTTGTTTTTTTTGTGTGTGTTTGTGTTAATTTCCGTTTTACTTTTAAGCACACACACAAATACTGCACATACACAAAAATGAAAGAATCCCTGCATGTGCTCACAGCTGCCACATGCAAACACGGAGACAACAGATAATGCGGTCTTAGGTATGTGTGCTTAGTTCATGATGTAAATGTCACGGCAGGTTAATATCTAACTCCGCTTCCCCTTTTCAGCGGCTTTAGAAGCAGCTTCTGAATCCACGACAACGATCACGTGTGTTCTTCTTCTTGTTCTTTCTTTGTTCATGTCGACGTTCCAGCTCGAGGCCCAATTCACGTGTTTTCTGCCTCAGCAGCAGATGTTGGCTATCATAATAAAGTCGATGTTATTTTCAGTACATTGCAGGGGTATGGTAGGTTAAACAGCAGCTCACCCTGTTGGCAAAAAGAACCTGAGCAGTAAATCATGCTGCTGCTTAGTTAATATTATTATTTGATTGGAAGAGAATGAATGACATAAATAAGATCCACAAATTGACCCACTCCAGTTATAAAAACCTCCCAACTGAGTGCAAAATCCTACAAATGAGTCAAAAAATAATGCAGAGCTACAGACTTGATAAAGTTTTATTTTGATTGCTGCATGCAGGACTCTAATGACACTGGCCTCTGATTAGCTGTATTAATCAGGAATCATCTGAAGGGCGTACCGCGTACTTTAGATGGACAAATTTGTGGCATTTGTTTTTTTGGAACAAGCTCGAATTTTACATCTCTCCTACAGGAGCTCAAACTGCCCCACTGACATCCTGAAATACGTACGAAAGCTGTCGTGATACAGCTTCAACCTAAGGCTCAAACCATGAAATTCTCGCTGCTACAGCTTTCTCGTTAGAATTGGATGAAACCAGAATCCCCGATTCTTCCTTTTCTTGCTTAGAAACATGAGCATCAGATCATCATCGCTCGATGTTGATTTCCACGACAAGTTTGCATCTGAACAACTCAAAAGTTTCTCTCGTTTTTTCACAACTCTCTCCGTGCGTATCAGTCTTTACTCTAAAGCAGCGATGCCAGACTCATTTTACATTGTGGGCCACACACAACCCACTTTGATCTTAAGTGAGAATCTCAATATTTAAGAAAAAGGTGGTAGAGAAATTCTGCTGTAGTTATTGAAAGACATCAGTCAGCACAACTCATTAAATGGAAAGAAATAAATCTGTAAAATTAGGGGAAAAGTTGCAGAGATGTATTTCATTATTTCCAATCCAATTTTTGAATTCATTTATTTATGTATTTTACTGTGGATACATTATAAAAAACATTTCTATAACAAATAGTGAAAAAATAGGAACTTTTCTTTCATTTAATGTTTTTAACTATTACTTTACTCTGCTCTCATTTGAATGGCTGTGGTGGAGGACTAACTGTGAAGTTTATTTAACACTGTTGAAAGTCCAAAATTCATGCATCCCATCTATTTTCCAAAGATGTCAAATGGGGCGCATTGGGGTGTCTGTTGGGCCGATCCCGGTCCCTGGATCTTAGGTTTGCAAAGGTTTCACATAACTTTAAAATGATGACCAGAGATTGTGCAGTCTGTGATTTAATCTGTGTGAACATCATGTACGGCCAGCATTCACACTGGTGTGTCGTTTAGAATATTTTTGTACGGTTTTTAAACTGTTATCGAAATAATCATTTGCATTTCAGGGGAAAAAAAAAAAACAAAACCAAAAAAATTTTCACACTAGATTTAATGCCTTCCTGTTACCCATTTTGTATAATCACTGTAATCTTATCGCAGGTAATGAGATAATAATATTCTGCATCTGTTCGCCACGATCCTGGAAACCAGACTGTTTGCTTTCCTGGTATCTTAAACGTTTTATTTTTCATGAGGAAGAAGGCTTGCGTTTGCCAGTTAGATCAGTCTTCATCAACAATTAACCAGCCTTAGAGCAAGGCATTACTTTGAGATGCAAATGGAGCAGGGATACTGATGCTAATGTCGACACATTTTGGCACAGTGAGCTAAGCTGAGGGCAACAAAGGCTTAATGGCACTTTTTAATTTATTTTTTGGTTGCTTTTCTTCAAATTTTGGCTTTGGTAGCTAATGGGCCTGCAGAGCACATGTGATATTTCTCTTCTTACTCTGGTTAGCAGTCGACTCCAGCTGACACTCTCTCGGCTAATTTTCAGCACGCTTCGCCCTGAAACCGCCCTGAAGAAACAGAAAGTGACCTTGTGAGATAAACACGCAAATGAAGGCTGTGTGTGTTTCAAATTAGTGTTATGCAAAGCATTTAGGCCCAAAATAACTTGAAATCTGTAAATTGGCTTGCTTGTTTTGAACTTCATATGAGCAGCTTCTCGTTTCTGTTATCCTTGTCGATAAAAGGAACTCAAAGAAACCAGTGAGTGTTGACCTTGGAACTCTACTCTTAGCTTTAATTGTTTTGTACAGGCTTAGTATTTTCTTAAATACTCATCCATTCTCCCAGAGGCCGTGCTTGAGTCTTCAAGCTTTCAAAGAAAACAATATGTGTAAAACAAAAAACAACTTAGCACCAGACAAAATATAATCCTCTAATCACCAAGAATTCCCTGCCTCACAAGAGATGGATGATTAGTTTCTGTCTGGTTCAGTTTTCGTCTGTACGACAAATGCAAACTAATCTTTTTTGTTTTTTACTTTGTTTTCTCACCGCCAGGCTTACCGGAGCTCGATGAGCTCACCATGGAGTGCGTTCTGGTGGAGCTGGAGAGTGTGTGCCAGGAGAAGATGCAGCAGGCCATCGAGACAGAGGAAGGCCTGGGCATCGAGTACGATGAGGACGTGGTCTGCGACGTCTGCCGCTCACCGGAGGGAGAGGACGGCAACGAGATGGTTTTCTGTGACAAGTGCAATGTCTGTGTTCATCAGGTCAGCAATTATGGGCTCAAGTTCTTCACATTTTTTGTTTGTGCACACTTGTGGAGTTGTATGCACTGTATGCTCCTTGCGTTTGGAGTTTTTGTAGGTTTCTGCAGAATAAGAAGGCGACTGAGTACATGAACTGCACAAAGGTGCACATAGAGCAGTTCTTTCACAAATACTTCCCGTGACAGCCTGAAGCTGGAGGGGCTCTGCTGTGTTTGTCACACGGTGACAGAATATTAATTATTGTGTCGGCTCAGTTGGCACTAACACACTATCACTCCCTTCAGACTGCCCCTGCTTACCTGCTGTTATGACACAGAATGGAAGAAGTTTCCCACCACTGCAGAACTGATCTCATTTTAATCTGTCACCTCCAGTTCCTCTAATAAACGAGTCCTGGGCGACTAATTCAGTGTTATTTTCAGTTATGGTTTGTGGCCTCCGATGGTAATGAAAACAAGATAATCGTGTTAAAACAGTTACTGTGTTGCACTAACTGCCTTTCTTTTTTTCTTGCGTTACAAATTCAACTCTCACCTGTGTGTCGTGACCCCCAACTTAAAGCTCTGCAAAGTTCAGTCTGAGCCAAGATAATTCAAAGATTTGAAATTCCTGACAAAGTTTCCGTAGGTAAACCTCAGAAACCCACCTTAGCCTCTCGTTTGCAACAGCAGACCGCCTGTGGTGGAGGCTGCGGCTGCCCGGGACTGGCAGTTGACCTTGCGAGCCGCGCTTCAATGTCGAAAACAGCCTCAAGTCTGGGCTTTACTCCCAACCAGACGACCTTGTGTCCACCTCCGCCTCCACCTCAGCTGAATTTTATTTAAAATCGAAAGAAAAATCCAAGTTAAAAAAAATGTTTCCTTTAAGTTGCATGAGGATTTTATAATGAGTATTCAAGTTTAGGAAAAACATCCTGAGCTCAGTGCTTTTGATATTTCAAACAAAACCTGCTCGGTTTCCCACTATCAGACAAAAATTAGCAATCAGAATCTGGAGGTTAAGTCTCCTCTCATTTTTCAGAACTATAAAGAATTTTTTTCTGAATATGAAATCAAAAGCCAGACTGTGAAACAGGAGGAAATATGAATCATCTTAAATATAACGCATTTTTACTCCATTTCATAACAGCTTTGCGTGGCTGCTCTTACTGTTCATAAAGAAGCACAGCAATATATAAAATATCTCGGTTTTTCTCACCTTAGCATGTTTGAAAGCACGCTATTTCCATTCAAGTCCAATTCTTTTCTTCTTCTTTTTTCAATTCCATTTTCTTTATATTGCACCAAATAACAGCAGTCGGCTCAAGGTGCTTAGACTGAAAGGTAAGGACGCTAGGAAGGAAAAACTTAACAGGAAGAAACCTCCAGCACAACCAGGCTCAGGGAGTTGCTGCCATCTTCTGCAACCGGTTGGGGGTGAGGGGAGGGGGGCAGGTTTTTGGCATAAGCGTATATTTCATCACCTCTTCCTTGCATGTGTGCCCTCATGCACATATTTCAAGAACGCGGGGCATAAATAACTTTTGGATCAAGTCATCAAAACATTACTCTTAGGAGCCTCTGGTGTTTTCCTAGTAGTATTTGTTGAGTAAAAATAGGTACGAGCCAAAAGTTGAGGTGTCATGGAAACAAATTGTAGCAGGCGGTGAAAGAAAAGGTTGCTCCCAGCAGTATTAAGTAATATTGCTTTTAGTGTGTAACCACACTAAAATATCACTAACCAGCATCGTCTGTTCCTTCCCTGGTAAAGTGGTCTCCCCAACGCTCGGTAGGTGAAACACGGGCCATGCTTGCTGAGGTTCTTTGTTTGATCAATAAAATCATTTCATCAATAGAGTCCCTTAATTGCTTTTAACAAAGACTGAGACTTTCGTGTTTCATTTCCTTGAAGGTTGTTTGTTTTTTCTCTCTGTCTCTGTTGTTTTATCATCCTCTAAGTCTAATATGAATGTGTGTTCTGCCTTTTCAGTTATATGAAATATGATGTGTCCTTCCCTCGTGATGGTCTGGGATTTGGGGCGTCTAAATTTCATTTGAGGCTCAACTAAAGGAGTAATGCTTTGATATGATAGATCTGAGGTGATAGGGATAATGGTAGAAAAAGAGGCATTACGTATGCTTCGCTTGCCACAGTAGACCCTTTCTAACAATGAAGGAGTAAATAATGTCTGACAATAAAATAACACTTTGTTTCTAACCCTGGGGACTGGATCTTATCAGAAACATATAAGCATGCTGTTATGCTGGCATGAAAGACTTCCATGGCACCCCTCTGTGATAGCGGAAGGGGAATTGGGTGGAGCTCTGATCATACAAAACCCAGCTGTGCTTTAAAAAACAAAATAAAGTCTATGTGGCATTTCAGATGTGTTGGAAGCTCATGCTGTTTTTACTAAAATAAAGAAATATTAAATGGAGATTTGTAATTGGAGCAGCAGTGGATAAAACCTTTCAGTTAATAAAACCTATATGAGAATACAGAAGTTGTTGCATTGAAACCAAATGTATGTTGGGGATTTTGACTTAAAAAGCAAGACGACTCGCAGGCTTCAGGGTGTAGCTGGTGAAAGTTATGCCAAGATTCCTGTTGGGAATCGCCCAATGTCTTCTACGGTTACTGTTGCAAGCAAGTACGTCATTAACACAGGAAGGCCATTCCCCATTTAAAGCAAGTTATTTAGGTTTTTAGTCTTTCCTAATGATTTTATTGTTGCTACTTCGCACACTGATGACCTTATTGGTCTCCACCCAAACTGTGCTCAAACTAAAAGCCCTCTGATTTGTCCGTTGGTGTGTGATGTTAGATTAAAAGGGCTTAGGCATAGGAACAGGCACTTGTGTGAATGAGTGAATGAAGCTTGTAGTAAAAAGGAATAGAAAAGTGCTCTATAAGTACCAGTCCATTAACCATTATGCTGACATCAGTAATATGGTCAGTGCTGTGACATCCTGATGCGTTTACACATTTTCATGCTTTTTATGGCCGAGTGATTGTATTGCAGCAGTCATGTCGAGATGAATGTGTCCACCATATAACTGCTTGAGAGCGTTCTTAACTTTTCAGCGGCTTGTAATTCTCATTAGTTTGTGCAACCGACAACAAGAAAACTTAATGGATTGTGAACCGGATCAGCTGCGGCACCACTTATGTGCTCAATCACAACAAAAACAAAACAAAATTCACTGTTTTTAGGTTGGCTTGAAAAGCTGACTGTCAGTCATCTTTTTGCCAACACAGAGTATATGGAATACAACTTTTAATATACACCTAATGGTTTACATGGGGTGTATGTTAATGTGCTTCAGTGTACTAATAGGTCTTTAATGAACTTTTTATTTATGGTGATTTGACGTAGTTTTCCATTCTCTTATTAGCAAGGCTAGCAATCTGTCCACTGCATAAAAAGTTACAGCTATTGGCTGGTTAGCTTGGCACAAAGACTTTGTAGGTAGAATTGGTTAGCCAGAATAAATTGGCTTGCATGTTACGTCATGGTTGGTAACCTATGTAAATTCAGAACCATCGTTATGCAGCTTTCGCATTAAGACCTGTCATAACTTTCCTTTTTTATTTCTTTCCCTGTTGCAGGCGTGTTACGGCATCCTGAAGGTACCCCAGGGGAACTGGCTGTGTCGGACCTGCGCTCTCGGGGTCCAGCCAAAATGTCTGCTCTGCCCCAAGAGAGGGGGGGCACTCAAGCCCACCCGCAGTGGAACCAAGTGGGTCCACGTCAGCTGTGCCTTATGGATCCCTGAGGTGAGACACTGAGAGAAAGACACAGAGGTGGTCACATACAGTCAGATACTGATTGGTTTCTTTGTGCAATCTTAAAATTGCAGCCAGCATGTTAATGAATTTTTAATACATCCCTGGAAGTGTAACCTTTTCTACATTCGCTTTTAGGCATTGTTGGCTTCACAGAATTGTTCCCACAATGTTGGGAGGATGAAATTGTTCAAAATGTCGTGGTATGGTAAAGCATTAAGAAGGCAAGCCGAACTCCTGAAAAACAGCCCCACACTGTGATACTTCCTCCACCAAACTTTGTACTTTGCACATTGCAGTCAGACAACTGCCAAACCCAGACTCTTCCATTGGATTACCAGATGAAGAAGCGTGATGTCCATCCAGAGAACGTCTCCACTGCTCTATAGTCCAGTGGCGGTGTGGTTTACACCACTGCATCTGATGCTTTGCATTGCGCTTGGTTCTGTAAGGCTTGGATTACACTCCACTCCATGAAGCTCTCTCTGCGCTGGTCTTCAGCAAATCTGAAGGTCACATGAGTTTTGTAGATCAGTAGCAACTGACTGTGCAGAAAGTCGGCGACCTTTGCGCACTATTTGCCTCAGCATTTGCTGACACTGAGCTGTAACTTTACATAGCCTACCACTTCATGGCTTCAAGTCACTTCCACTTCCACTAACAGTTGACTGTGGAATATTTAGTAGCAAGGAAACTGCATGACTGGACTTGTTGGACAGGTAAGTCCTGAGAGCAACCCATTCGTTCAGTAATATTTGTAAAAGTAGTCTGCACGTCCAGGTGCTGCATGTTATACACCTGTGGCCGTGGAAATGACCGGAGTTGAATTCAATGATTCGGATGCCTGAGTGAATACTTTTGGCAATGTAGCGCATCGCTGTGGTTTTACGGTGAGGCCTTTGCTTTGCAATTAGACTCAAAAAAGTCTTTGGTGGAAGATTTTGAGAAGCATTTGCACCTGTTACTTGTTTCCACCACTTGTTTAGAGTAAATGTTTAAAATACCAGTCAACACCTTCCTCTTTACAATCTGAAGAATGCATAATGATTCCCGAGGAACCTGGCTGTCAAGCGTGCTTCTCCCAGCAGCCGCTCATTTCGTCTTGACGTTTCTTGATGACATCTTTTGTCACCGTCGCTCATCTGAAAGCCCCAAACGGAGCCCCCTCATTTCAGAAGGTTCGTGGATGCGCTTCGAGCCTTGCACACCTTTAAGACAGCCAGTCATATTTCTTGCGACTATTCAGCGGCACACTTCACCAGCACATTTCTCTCAATAATAGAGTGGCTTTTGGCACCTCAAACCTTTTCCTCCTAATTGCCTTCTGTCACCCTTGATTGGGCTAATTGTTTTCGTTGCTCCATTCGCTTTTGTTTTCTCTTCCTACCATGGCGGAGGGGGTTAATTTGCATGTCTGTGCTGTGTGTGTGTGTTTTGTACTCTTGTCCTTGTGTGGGCTCAGATGTATGTGCTTCATGCTACTAGTTGGTAGATTTGTTCTGAATATGTGGTGGAAAAAACTGTGTGTAAGTGTGTTTTACATTTATAGTGTATGTGTGTTTGTTTTTGTATGGGTGTGTGTGCCTTCAAATGATACAGCCTCTCCAGAGCTGTGCATAGCTGCCTTATCCCTGCCTTCAGCTCCTAGAGAAAGGTCTCTCTTTAAACAGCTTTTCACCCCTCATAGTTACACATAGACACACAAACACACACACTCAATCTCAAAGAGGAAGAGCCCCTCTTTTAAGAAGGCTTTTTATTTAACACAGTGATTTCCTCTAAAGCGATTTTAGATTTTGTCCCTTTTTTCATCTGTCTGCTTTGAAATGTGAAGTGCAACTTCTGCGTATGTGTGTGTGTGTGTGTGCGCGTGGGAATCACGGTTGTGAACAATTCAATCAATTAACTGTACCATTCAAAAAGTGGAAATCCTTTTCTTATCTACCGGCTCTTATATCAGCTGCATAAAAGAAGTGCGCGTTGACAGTGATGGCTGTGGCATCATAGTCAGAATTGCACTTTCTATTGACATTCTCAATGGAGTGAAAATTGACCCCCGCATCAACTGTGTGAGTGTGTTGTACAAAAGACATCGATAATAACAGAAAGAGCAGAGGCCATTGGTTTGTTCTGTGGTTGAGCAGATGAGAGGAGGAAAGAAAATCAGATAGAAGGACGAGTGGATGATGGGGGGGAGGCGTGACCTGCGGAAATCAGTTGTCAGCTTGTTAATACAAGCGTGAAGGACAAGGAGAGAAGGCCGTGCCTCAAATATGACAAGAAGTGGATGTGAAAGAAGTGGAATGTTGTTTTTTTTCCTTTTTTGTAAAGAAATAGGCAGCAGAGGAAGGAAGGAAGGAAGGAAGGAAGAAACAGCGCTTTGGTGATGAGTGCTCTTCACTTCTTTTCTGCATGGCTGGTTGGCACAAGTCAATGACTTCTTGGTTGTATTTGGTGCAGGGAGGTCTGGGGCCAAAGCTGTTCTGAATGAACTGCTCAAAGAGGAAGTCACACAGAGCTTTACAGTAACCTTTTTCCAAGAAGCACATGTGTCTCTGCTCTGGGTCCGAGGACAGTTTTGGAAATTGGAAAACAGGTGAAGTTATTCAAGCTAAATTAGGGTGTAAACTGTCATTCATAGGATGCGTTTAGGGAGGTTACTTTAATCAGAAACTGAAGAAGTTGCGTAGCTGAGGTGTTAAATATATTTAAGAAGATGATAATTATGTTGTAACTTCAAATGTTGTATTTTATTAATACTTTATATGGCGCCAAATCACAGTTGCTTCAAGAAGCTTTTGCTTTTTTTTTTTTTAAGGTAAAGATCCTGCAATAGTACATAAAAAAATCTGAACAATCAGACGACCCCATATGAGCAAGCGCTTGGCGACAGACGGAAAGAAAAACTCCCTCCTAAGAGGAAGAAACCACCAGCAAAGCAAGGCTCAGAGAGGGGCAGCCGTCTGCCGCGACTAGTTGGGGTTGAGGGGAGAAAAGAGAAGTGAAAGACAGCCAGAGATTAATAATAGCCAATGATGAAATGCAAAGTGGTGTATAAAAATAGAGGGAGTGAAAAGGAACACATCATGGGAAGCCCCCAGATGCACCAAGAGTCTTTCAGCCTCAGTTGCCTGTATGACCATCGCAGATGAATATTAACTTATCCCAAAAAAAGCTGCATATTCCAACATTTGAGAAGCTGCAACCAAAATATGTTTGGCACTTTGCCTAATTATTAAGTGAGATTTTTTTAAAAAGAATTTAGAGTAAGATGAGTCTCATCAGTGTTGTTGTGCTTTCTATGTTTGTTTCTTACTAACTGTTTTGTTTTCCTCCTTAGGTGAGTATAGGCTGTCCAGAGAAGATGGAGCCCATTACCAAGGTGTCCCATATCCCCGCCAGCCGCTGGGCTCTGTCCTGCAGCCTGTGTCGAGAGCACACAGGGACCTGCATTCAGGTATATTATCAGTGCTTTGCCCGTCTATCTCATTGTCTTCAAATGTTAAAAGAAAAACCCCAAAAACAAAAGAAACACAGCATTCAAAACATCCACAGGTTCTACAGTGCTCCAGATTATGGGTTTCAGTTTTTGCTTCTTTTCCTTCTCTGGTTGCTAAATCTCAACTACCAGTTTGCAAACAAGTTAAACCAAGATAAGTGAGGGTGTGATTTCAACAGCAACAAGTTTCCTCTTTTTAAATTATCATGCAGCCTGCATGCATGCTGTACATCAGCCAGAGGTGGTTTGTGGATATGTGAAGGTTTCCACTATGTGTAATATTTATTACAAAGGGTGAAACACTGATCCATGAATTTATTAATGAAGCCTTGCAGGTAAAAAGACACAAAATGAGCACAGCATGCTCCAAACACAGCATTTCTCTCATCAAATTATTGTAGTTTTTAGTTTCCTGATAGGCAATGTGGATGTGTTTGAAGCGACTGCTTAGTATGCAAACACAGCCCCTGCTGACACACTTACACTAACCCACTTCACAGACATTAGCCTGTGCATGATTTAGCTTCAAAAGTGCCCTTAAGGTGAACCGCAATCCTAAAGCATTGCAATGCTTTTGCATTTGCTTGCAGCATATGCACATCCCAGATGTATGTACTGGATACGAACGCGTGTGTGCGTTTGCGCATCGGCGAGGGTGTTTCCTGACAGTGTATCCCTGCTGTAGACTATCAGCGAACCCCCTGAGTTGGAGTCGTCCGTAGGGAGAGTCTCACTCTCCTATTTCCATAGCTGAAAGCAGACTGCTGTACAAACATACTTGCTAATCAGTTGAGATGCTTTTCTGCACAGCAGCTCGAGCAGCAGGAGTTCTTTGTAAACCACGTTGTGGAGAAAAGTCGGAAATAAGAAATATTTTTCCGCCTCGAAAAGTTTCAGTCCAGGAGAGAAAATTTCTTTTAATCTATTTTTCCGATTTAAGTGTTTGCTGTGATTTGTGATACAATCATTGTAGATCAATTGCAGGACAATGTATTCACACTATAGCAGACATTAAAGCACAAAGCATGTGTTACCACTGATATCTGTGTGTTTTTAATGTTGAGTAGGTCAGACAGCTTCAGCCTTGAGTGTTCTTCACTTCGGCACCACTTCCAACAGTGAAATCCACTTTTTGAAGCCTTCGTCTAATGACACCTTGTCCTGTCTCTTTTCATGCTGAGCTACTAACAAGCATCTCAAGCGCTCATAACAAAGTATACATATCTAACAACCATTAGCCAGGACGTTCTGAGTTAAGAGTCTCTTAATTAGTATTCTACTGAAGATCTGTGCACTAGAAGGTCAACCAGTGCCACCTGTACTGTATATGTAAAAGAGATTCTGTGTACAGCTTTTAATAATGAGATTGTTGTAGCTCTAAGTGTGCTAGATGGATTAAGTGAATAGAAAAAGGTCTTGAAAATATGTCGTAAGAATTTAATTTGCTTTATTATGACTCTGGTTATTCCCATATCAAGCGGTGGACATCCAGCAGCTCAGATGTTGGAATATCATAGGATTGGAGCTGAATTCTGTTTAAACATACAGAACTTTGTTTTAAAGTCTAGTCCTGTGCAGTGCTGCACATTTTGTTATTGAAGGGATACCAAGTAAATACAGGGCTAGTATTGCGAAGAACAATACTTATACTTTCAACTTATAAAAGCAACTTATGTAGTAGAGATTTAAGAGATGTGACCCTTAAATCACAGTTTTTTTTACTTTCCACGGTTACAAAGCACACCAATCAACCTTTTATGTATTTTGAAACTGGGCTTTTTGGAGGAAATTTGCCTGCTCTAAAGCACTTTGGATCAACTTCTGTTGTTTAAATTTGCTTTAGGTCAAAAATAAAATAGATGTATTGGGAAACACAAAAGGGTTATGACAGTTTTCATAGTGCATGTTTGAGGTATATTTTTTCATTTTCAAAAAAGAAAACAATTTAACACGATTCAGCGGGCTACTTTCTGAACTTGGAGGATAGGAACAAACTATTGATCCTATCGCGCTACAATACTAGTATTGTTATTGATACAATTGACTATATTGACGATTGATTGACATATAAGGAAGATGCTTGAGATCTCTCAAGTGATCACACTGATTAGTTACTGTAGGTCCAAGCTTCTCTCTAATCTCTGCCCCTTTCTGGTTTTTGGGTGGGAAAATGGTGCAGTGGTTAGCACTGCCGCCTCACAGCCTTTCTCTGTGGAGTTTGCCTGTTTATGCTCCCTCTGGGTACTCCTGCTTCCTTCCACGATGCAAAGGATTGCATGTTAGGTTAATTGGTGACTCTAAATTTGCTAAGGGTCCAATGTAAGTCTATAAGCTCCAGTGCCTGCATGACCCCGAATTGAATTTGTGGTAATATAACGAATGGATAGATTTGTTTAAAATTAATTATGGAGAGTGATAGAAAATCGGCTAAACCTAAAGATGAAAAAGATGGAAAGTTGCTTCATTGATTTTTCTGGTTGGTTTGTACCAAATACATGTGCAACAAAAAAAGAGAGGAAACAAATCCAGAATTTTTCAGGTCAAGGAAATGTTGATAAATCGCAAGTTGATACACAAGTTAAAAAATGTTCCAGAGTAAAGTATGAACAAACCTCAGTCTGAATAATGTCGGGGGGGTTTTCTCAGTTAAGTCTTGCAAAGATTATTTTAGAGAAACATGTTTTCTTCACAAACAGAAGTAGTCGGCAGCAGTGTGGGCACTGATAAAAACATTATTAATGAATCCCTGCCAGAACAGAGCAGGTGCAGTCGAAAAGGCCAGATGAGTATTTTTTTCTTTTTCTTTTTTTTTTTTCCTCCGATGACTTGGCTCATACCAAACAACACATTTAGCCAACTCCACGCTGTGTTCAACCTTTTGCCACCGAAAAAGTGAGAGCAGCTGCAGTGGTCTCAATCTGACATTTGGTTGGTAATAAAAAAAATGGGTTTACAGTGGAGACCTTTGACCGTAACTCCACGTTTTATCAGGATGTTGTATTTATTGGGGTGTCTTACACAGGCTAAGCATGTGATTATTGGATCACACCTTCTGTTTCTTCATCACTGGCTTTATTTTCTTGGTGATTTATCTGTGCATCAGGTGAAACTGTCAAGCTTTAGTAAACAGTGAGTGTAGGACTCAAGTGCGGGACCCGGGCAAGACGGAGAGAAGTAGAGTGCATTTTGAGATTCTTTATTCGCTTAGAGACATTGCACATGAACTAACTTAAATGAGCTCTTACTCACTTTAAAGAAACGTAAACATAGAAACAAACTTTATTTAAATACAAGGCTGAGCTCAGCTGAACATATGAATGCAATTAACAGGAGAGAGAGGCAGGCATGAGGAGCGAAGGCAGGTAGCGAGGGTAAGATCTGTGAGACAAGAGGACAAGTTAGACAGTGCAGAGAAGGAGGAGGAGGAGGTGAGTTAGGCAATGTTGTCCAGAGGATTATTGTGAGAAAACCTTACTTGAAATCCGAGGTAGTCGGGCCAGGGGAGGGTGCCAAAAGGGAGAGGTTTTGAGCCCGCAAGGAAGGTGGTGAAGGGTGGAGCGTGGGAAGGCTCCGAAGAGTGGCAGCGGTGATCCAGCAGGTGAGTAATGATCTCAAGTAGCAGCAGAAGAAGTGGCATTCGTGAGAGGTGAGTGGTTGCACATGGATGTGAGATCCGGGGCTGGCTGGCTTAGTGGAGACGAGGAGAAAAGGCACGGAATTACATGAGAAACAGATCATAAGAAAAAGCAAATAAAAACAAGATTAGCCTCTTCACCACGTCGGGTGAGCTCATAATCTGGCGGAGTGTGGATTGCTGCGCTGGTCTTTTTGTTCAGCAGTTGATTGCTCTGATGATCAGCAGGTGACCTGAAGGGGAGGAGAAAACGTGGTTGCAGCTCCACTCCGATGGGGTGGAGGAAAACAGCTGCCTTCTAAACCCACATCTGGCAGCTAACTCATTGGTCAAAGCTTCTTATGACAGAGAAAAGCCATTTAGTTTTACCTTAAAAAACAATAAAGGACAAATTAAACTCTTTAAACACGAGAATGTACACTGAAAAGCCAACCAAACTGTCATAATGATTTGAGGGCTGTGCAAAATCCATTAGAGCCAAGGTTTCTTTGCATTAGCTAGCTTGAAAAACACCTAAAACCCCAGTTAAAAATAATGGATAGTTATCCACTGTCTTTGTTAACCCAGGCTGTGTTTGTTGATCGCATACAATGATGTGCCACTTCACTCTTCTTTGACACAAAATGGATGGATTGAGTTAAGCCTGATGAGTCAAGATAATCAGGTCATGGAAAGAAAATATGGATATTAAAAATATATATATATGGTCAAATCTAGCAGGTGTTGCCAAGAAGACAAAATGGTAATACTGCAGAATGTTCACATGCTTATGCTTGTGCATATGCAGTCATTTCAGACTGCTGCACATCAAAAACAGATTTCATAAACGTGATCGCTATATCAGACCTGATACAGTCCCATAGTGGAAAAAAATATGGAAATCATTTGTTTTTCGTCAATAAAGGTAAAATTCATATAAAATATATGCACAATATGAAGTGGGACTTAAACAAGTGCTGTGAAATAAACTTTATGGGTAGAATGTTGTTATCTATTGGACACAATATCTTGGATACATTGTCAAAGTTTTAGGAGAAAATTTGCCACTCAACAACCATCTTGGTAACAAAGTGGCAGCTGTGGTAAACGCTTACTCCATTTGTAACTAAGATGGGCAATTATCAGTTATCATAAAGCCCCGAGTCAAATAAACGGGGAGAGATATAACGTGAATTCCAGTGGTTACCAGAATATAAAACTGTCTAATCTGATAAACAATGAAATAGTTTGGTGATTTTACCCTAAAATAAGGTTTCTTTTTTTTGTCATCTACAAAAGGCGTGTATGCTATGCACAAAGTTACGCAATATATGCTATATCAGTGTTTCCAACTGTTTAGGTGTTTATGGACTTTCTTCACCATAGCACAAGTGTTCTGCTGTGCCACATCATACATAAGCCGAGAAACAACACTAGGCACGCTTGCATCTTTACCACGATAATGAGTAGATATACAGTGGGGGAAATAATTGGTATACTAAGTGTTTTGACTTGGGGAGGGACGTTCTCGTCCAACATTTAGTAGGACATGACCGCATCCATTGGCCCTTTAATGTGGTGAAGTCATCCTGTACCCTTAGCAGAAAAACACCTGTGAGGATAGTGTTCTTTTTGTCATACTTCGAATTTCTCTTTTTCCAAACATGGCAGGTTGAGTTGATGCCAGAAAGCTCGATTTTACTTTCATCTGACCACAACACTTTCTCCTGCACTTTCTCTGAATCATTTAGATTTTCAGTGGCAAACTTAGGCAGGCATGTACATTACCAATGCTGTTAACAGTGGTGTTTCTTGGCAAACTTAAAAATTTTAGCAGGGGATCAGATACTTACAGTGGTTTGAAAAAGTGTTTGTCCCCTGATTTATTTTTAGTTTTTGTATACGTGTCACACTTAAATGTTTCAGATCATCAGACAAATATAATATTAGAGAAAACACAAGTAAACACAAAATGCATTTTCTAAATGAAGGCGTTTATCATTGTAATAATAATAATTCATTTATAAACTGTAATTAACTTGTGTTTTAAGAAATCGGGAAGGGGGCAAACACTTTTTCACTTCACTGTATTTCCCCCAGTGTACAGGCTGCCACACCTTTTGAACTTCTAGGGTTCATCTGCATTAGCACAATAACACAGTAGGTTTATGTTTTCTCATTTTGCTGTTGATTGACTGTTTGCAATCAGTAGTGTTCATATTTGCTGTTATAGCACTTCCCTATAGATTTCTAACGGGGTTTGTTTGAGTGGTAAATCTCCCTCATAATCTCTCTGATAATGTATCTGGTAACGTTAGGGAAAGAACTGGTGAAAATGTGGTATTTGCAGGCAGTTTTCAATAAAAACCAAGCTTGTCGTGCTCAAAAGACTAAAATATATAACAGTGACTGTACAACTTGACATATTGAGCCAATTAAAGCAAGGAGTCTATCATCATTATCCACATTGGGGAATAACACACATAGGAGGTCTCCATTAGTCAGTTTGCGGTTTCACATGGATTCACATGCTGTTTCACAAATCATGTAAGTTTAATGCAGGATATCTCTGTTAATCCTCCCACACACAAATAGGCTCTAATATTAAGTCCATAAAAGATGAAATGAGAGTGGGTTCATCTGGATCTCTCAGCATACCTGAGATTACAGTCGCACACTTTTCCATGTGCTGCTGAAGGTTGTAGTGATAGATTGGTGTTCGGGCTGATGATGACCTACTTTAGTGTGACAGTAGAGAAGACCGCAGCACAGTCCAAAGCCAACCCGAAGTTCAAGCAAAAAAGAATATGCTAGCTAGTTATGTCTCCTTTTTTGCCTCATCGTACAAACCACATTTGGAAATGCCGAAAAGCCCAACGCCAGTTAGGACTGGACTGTTTCTTTGGTAGGAAGTAGTTCCAATTAAAACTTTTTAAAGCTTTTTAGAAAGTTTTTATGAAGCATAAAAGCCAAATAAGGATAAGAGAAATAAAGGGAGAGAGACATTTGTAGAAAAGTTGTTTTCCAGATGGTTGAGTCGGTCGGATCAGTGAGGGTTTTTTTTTATCATGCACTGCAGTGCAGAGAGTCACCAACGAGCCTCCTGCCGAATCCTGAACTACTTTGATAAGTGCAGATCTACACACACACTCACACATACTAAAAAAATGTGCATGCAGCAGTGACACCAGTACAGTCACAAGGGTTCTCGCTTTCTCACACACACACACACACAAAATCGTAGCATGCCTGGAGGGACTCAGTGGGAGGTCAGCTCTTAGTATGACCTGTAATGGATAGCACTGAGAAACATGCACTCACACACATATTGAAACATATCCCAAGTTACCAGAATGTCAGCAGAAATGGGAAAGCTGTGTTTGTTGTGACTTGGTCTGTCTTTCTGCTTTGCTGCACTTGTTCTGGAACCTTGATAACGCAATAAATGAACCGAAAATGACAGCTTAAAACAAACAGGTTTGACAAAATGTCTGAGAACATGAAGACATTTTTTTTTATTTCTGTGTCCCTTAACTCAATTCCCTCTCTGTCCCTGCTCCCAGTGCTCCATGCCCTCCTGTATTGTGGCCTTCCATGTGACCTGCGCCTTCGATCACGGCCTGGAGATGAAGACCATCTTGGCCGAGAACGACGAGGTGCGCTTCAAGTCCTTCTGCCTGGAGCACAGCAACACCAGTACAAACACCAACAGCACCTTCAGCTCAAGCGGAATGAGCAACGGCAATCACGTCACCGCTTCCACCGCCAACGGAGCACACGGTGGAGCCAGACCCGAGTGGGCCGCCCCCGGTCTCACCTCCGAGCTTTGGCAGGACCAGCAAAACGAGACAAATGGCAGCAGCGATCCGGCGCAGAGGTCGGTATCGCACCTGGTTTCAGTGTCGGCGTCGGAGCGGGCTGAGCGCGACCAACTGGAGAGAGAAAAAGTGAGCCAGAGGAAGCAGAAGCTTCAGGAGCTGGAGGATGAGTTTTACCGACTCGTGGAACCCAGGGAGGTTGCCGAAAACCTGGGGCTACCCGTCTCCCAGGTGTGTTAAGCTAGGACCCTACAGCTTCTCATTAAGTTATAAGAAATGAGGTTAAACACTCGTTGCGATAGGATAGGTACGCCTGTATGTGTATCAAAAAATACCTGCTCTTCTAGGTAGTGACTCAGGTATAGGCACGAAGTGCACAGACATGGTCAACAAGATGAGTGGCTGAAAAAACTCACTGATGAGAGAGCTCATAATAGCAGCACTTGTTCCTGCTAAGAGGGAGCAAGTATGCAGATACTGTGACTGCTCAGTACAGCAGCGACGTGCAGCAGAGCATTTCAGAACGCCCGATTCACCGAAGCATGAAGCTGTTAGGAAGTGCCGTTTCTGTCCAAAGAACAAAAAGCTGAAGGCTCCTATTGATTGATGAAATCTGGGAGAACATTGCCTAGTCGGAAAAATGTGTTTGTGTTAAGAGTATAAAATTATAGAAATATGAGAAGACTAATCATGTACTTGCCTCGATTTAGCACACTGGCTCAAGTGTTCCCCATTCATAGGTATTCGTAGACCGCATGATGAGTTACAGGTATTTGTTTAGACCATGCTCTGTTCTGCTTTCCAAACATGGACGCTGCTGCTGGAAAGTGTTTTATTTTTAATTTTTTTTTACTAGGAAAGCTAAACCATGGATTTGAAAGAGTTCTTTTTTATAAAAAGAATTTTTGATACTGAGTCAACACTTCAGGGCCATTTTGGGTTTTAAAAATATAATAGAGCTGAGAGAGAGAGGAAAAAACTCAGGTATTGTCTGGTTAAGGTCACAAATCTATGAGAAAATATTGTTGTGTTGTCAAAGAACCGCTTCACTTTTCTTGGCAAGGTTGGGGCAACCACATTACACCACAGTGCCTCAGTGTGCTTTGTGTCTTGTCTGCAGTGTATGATCTAATAGAGGTATTCATTGTAGTTGGATACACTAATGAAATACTTGCGATTGTAGCCATGTTGTCAAATACCCAGACTTTGAAGAGTCATTGCTTACTCAGATCACGAGTGAAACGTTTTTCGTAGTGCTGCACTTCTTTAATGTGTGCAGTCCTGTTTTATTTTCATTGGTGTAAAAGGTTGATCCTTCAAATGTGAATATGAATGGGGATTTTTAACAAAAGAAAAATGTCACGTCTACAATCATGGGAAAAATGAAGTTGTCACAGGACTCTATACAGCCCTGTGAAAAACTCGGTGAGGTCGAACAACTTTTAGCGTCAGTAACTTCAAGTAATTATTTTCTGTATGACTTTATCAGCCTCTCAAACTGTTGTGGAGGAATTTTGGCCCACATTTCTTTAAAAACAGTTCACACTCCATGTGTGCACACCTCTCTTAAGGTCCCACCACAGCATTTCAATCAGGTTAGGGTCATTGCAACACGGTGATTCTTCTTATTTTCAGACAGTTGTAGGTTTGCTGCTGTGCTTAAGTTCATTTACTTGTTACATGACAGAATTTCAGCAATGCTTTAGCTGTCAGACAGATGGACTCACACTTTACTCTAAAGTACTTTGGTGTAGAGCTGTTCGATATAACGATATATATCGGATGACGATATAAAAACATCTGTCGTTTCATTTTACGCTATCGTTTGTTTCGTGGTGTCGCAAAATAAACTGTTTACGGCAATATTTTTTCATCGTCCGCTTGTTTATGTTCCACATAAACCTTTCACAATAAAGCTCAAGATCCTGTTGAGACTTTTCAAAATAAACTGAATCACATGAAAGAGCAGATTTTTTACGGATGAGAAGAAAAAAGAGCCGCCAGGTGCTAAGAAATAAACCTTAGACTCAAACGTTAGAACAGGCTTTTCCCCGCAGCACGCCGTGTAATAAATACAAAGAAACTCCATGAAATTTCTCGGCCGTTACAACTTAAGTCTAAAAATGTATAGTTTCATGCATCGGTTAAAACACTCGACTCCGGGTAAAGGACGCGCAGTTGGAAACACTTCACGCAAGTCGAGCTGCCCGAGATTCACAGAATTTACAGAAAATGTTAAATTTTTGTGATTTATATCGTTATCGGGACGATAGAATTCTTATATCGGGATATGAGATTTTGGTCATATCGCACAGCCCTACTTTGGTGTACAGAGGAGTTTCTGGTCAACTGAATGGCTGCAGAACAAGCCCGAATCATCACCCCACCACCACCATGCCTGACAGTTGGTGTTTGTGTTTGCGTTATACATCATGGACAAACATCTCTACTTTGGTCTCATCTGTCCTAAGGACATTGTTCCAGACGTCTTCTGGTGTTTTTCAGATGCAATTTTGCAAACTTAAGATATGCTTTGGGCTGATTTTGTGAGGATCCCCATTCCTGACCAGCAAACTACCAAAACTTCAGTGTTTATAGCATTGCTCACACTTGGTGATGATCAGTTTATCAGGTGTATTTGATTAGCAGCACCTGGTGGCTATTTAATTAAAAAAATTCCTACAGTATTGAGGCTGTAATGGTGCACCTAGTTTTTCACAGGACAGTAGAGAGTCCTTTCTTCTCTATGTGACTATATGTGTATTTTGTAATTTTGTGAGACCTTTGTAAAGTTTTTCTTTGACTTTAAAATAACAAAGAATATCCAAGTATTTGATCCTTAATTTGAGAAAATTATTGAAGTTTAATATGACTATAAAGTTTCCAAAGCTGGATGACTTTTTGAAATAAATCTCCTGCAAAAATGTGCTCTAGAATTTCACATTATAATGCTTCAGTGCCTCTAATTCACAATTAAAAACAACAAAAAAAGGAAATAGTCTGAAAGCACAGTACAGTGGCCTTCCATGTGACCTGCGCACACAGCACCTTCATTGACCAGATGCTCGCACTGATTTTTAACTCCATGAAATTTCTCGCTGCCATCTTTGACTTGAATTGAAATCAAACATGGCAGCGATGCGAACATTATGATAGCGTAACAGGTAAATGTGTGTCTACGTTTTAAGGTGGACTACTTATATCAGTTCTGGAAGCTGAAGAGGAAGGCCAACTTTAATCGACCTCTGGTGACCTTAAAGAGAGACGAGGTGGACAACCTGGCCCAACAGGAGCAGGACGTCCTCTACAGACGCCTCAAACTCTTCACACACCTCCGACAAGACCTGGAAAGAGTGAGTTGGACAATCAGATGCAGACGTTGTTTCGATGTTTGTTTGGTATGAAGCCAAAGAAAACTTGTTTCTTTGCAGAGTGCTTTATTCTGGGATCATTTCTTTCTGTTCGTGTGTGTTCGGTGTGTGTGTGTGTGTTTCGAACATGTGCGAATATTCGTGCTCGGTGCTTGATCCATCCCTGTATCGCTGATATAATTTCCGAGTTAATTTACATTTTTCCGAATGTTAATTAAAAAGATCATTGACAGTATCATATGAAGTTGATTTTTGCTCTCATGAATATTGATGTTAAATGAATGAATGGCTCAAAGGATGACGGGGTAATGAAATGACTCAGGGATATAATGAGTGACTGACTGATAGCCAAGTGTTGGAAATGTAAGTGAAAATTCACCAACTGTGGAGAATTCATTTGTTTTTTCTATGATCTGTGATCATTGTGACAGATTAGTTACTTCATGTAAAAAGTCAGCGAGGCACTCTCGGAATTTCCTCAGATTTGTTTGTTTGTTTATTTGTTTGCCGTGTCTCTCCCACTCTTCTGACTTGGAGAAAAAAAACTTCACAGAAAATTCAGTCTCAAGTGACCCGGAGCACAGGAATAGCATACAGTACATACTGTAAAGTCCCTCGGGAAGTGGAAAGTCAGCTCTATAGTGGAAATTGGTTCAGACGTTTTTCGTTTTCATTTCTCTGAGAGCCTGTGGGTTCGTTTTGTGATGCTCCTGAGCCCCCTGCTTGGAAACAGTTTGTTATTCCCCAGAGAAAGAGATGGTAATGCTTGTGCAGCTGCCGTGCCATGGAGAGAAAGGCTTTGATCTGGAGTTTGTTGGTGGATACCAGAAAAGGTGCTCCGCAGCGACTCCCTACTTTTACTGAGGCACCTCAGATGGTTTCTAGCTTGGCCCAAATGACATCAGTAATCAAATATGGTAAATTTCATGATACTGTCAATTTTTAGAACTGAACGCATGGTGTGATTTTTGGGAGTGTGCTACATCTACACCTTGATTGTTGATGAGTTCAGGTAGACCAAGTGTCCTAATGTAAGAGCGAGCTAATGGGCATTAATTGTACTGGAGGCTTTAAACCCGGCGAAGAATACTTTTCCGGCTTCTGTGGTTGTGGAAGCAGAAGTTTAGGGAGGCTTTTGAAGCTTTAACTGCTAACTCTAATTAAAGGTGTCTGTGGATGAGAAAATTGAAAGATCTAATGGAAGCCTGGCCCATCTCTCAGGTGAAGAAATTTCAAAGGGTAGTTGAGATTCGTGCTGCATGTTGTGTTGCATTCGTAGTAGCTGTTGTAACTGGATTGATCACATTTTGGAGGGTTAGCAGTATCTTGGTGCAATGAGAAACTTGTTGATCTATTTATGGAGAAAGGAAGTTATGGAAGTTTTTTTTTTTTGCCCTGCCCGACACAATGTTCCTTAACATTTAAATAAAACACAAAACTTATCATTATCTACATGAAATCTTTGCAGCTTGTAGTTTGTAACTGTAGCTGCTAAGAGTTGAGGTTATTTCTGAATGCTGAAATATTCCCCTGCTGATTTCAGTATCAGAGCTTGCATTTGGCTGCAGAATACGCACTAATATTTTCATTCTTTTGCCTGGTTTCTTGAATTAGTTGTGCCCATCTTCAAAACCTCACTCCAGAGCTCTGTTAGTACATTGGCATTCTCTGCTGCGGCTGCAGTGCTCTCAAAACCTCTTTCTGACCCTGCAAACTATACAGGATCTAAATTACAGCGAGCAGCCAAACATCTACTGCGGCCAAAATTTAGGGGGATACACGTAAATGCGGTTCGCTAAGGACATGCGGCAGGAGTCCTCTGTTTTTTTTTTTTACATTTAGACAACTGTTTATATCATTCCCACAATGAAAAAAAATCTTATTATATCTGCTTACCTTCACGTAATAAATTACCAAAAATGTTCACTGCAGAGAGATTCTTAACCCCTGGATATTTCTGTCAGCAGAGTCTAAGGTGCCTTGGTTTTGTTCAGCTTGGTTGATTTAATTTCGTTCATAGTAAGAAAACCTTTTGGTAATTAGGTGGCTCCATATTAACCAAATGACCTTTCTGTACAAAACTAAAAGAGTTCAAATACAAACACAAGAGATAATTGGAGATTTTTTTTTTTGTTAATTGCTCCTTAGTTTTTCTCATTTAGCCTCAGCTGGTAAGACCAGTGGACTTAAGTTCAGTGCTGATTAGACCACGGGATCAGCGTGCTTTGTCCAGCGTCCCACGGTGTTAATTTGGCTTTTAGATGATAATTCCTCCACCTCTTAACTTAAAATAATGGAATCACAAATCACTTCCCACAGAGCCAGGTTGTCATTTCTAAACAGTGGGCTGAACTTTTTTATGTAGGTCACTTTTTATTTGGGTGAGCCAAATAACCGAAAGCCCTTGCTATACTTAGATATTCTGTAGCTGTGCAAATCACTGTCGATGTACACTATTTTCTGTGATTGGAAGACCACTCTACAGATGTGTAGAGAATTGTGTAACTGTAGCCACACCGCAGTGGTCTCTGGTGGTCAGGGTTTATTGATTGTTGCAGTTTTCTAACCTCTCAACCAGTCAGTGTGTCCATGGACTCCATAACTCTTCTCCCTCCTGACCACCCATTATTGATGTGTGTGTGTGTGTGTGTTGTAGAAGTGAACCATACCACTTCAGCTTTCAAAAGTTAACTCTCTTCATTCTGTCACAAAACAGCGAAGCAGTCAGTAGGAAATAACAGTTGAAACAGCTTATTTACTCAGAGTATGTAAAGATGGTGCCTACGTGTACCTCAGTGTTCGAGGCAACTGCGTCCTATTTGTGAAAAATGCAAACACGTGGTGGATTTAAAGCAATCCATGAACACATGTTGGATTTAGCTTGAATATTACATCCAAATATTGCAGATTTATGGGGAACATCATTTGGCTTTCACTTAATACAGAAATGTAAATAAAAAGGTCGTCAAAGGAGCTTGCAAAGAAAAGCGTTTGGACTTCTTTAAGTTGCTTGAAGATGTTTCACCTCTCATCCGAGAAGCTTCTTCAGTTCTAAGGTCAACTGGTGGAAAGTCCCAGATATAAACCTAGTGGGAGTATCACCCCGCAGAGGGACGCCCCCCATACGCCTTAACACCCACTCACATCCTGGGCCATCTGACCTCAGGAATTCGCATGATAGGGTGGGGCCAGGTTTCACAATGAGCTCACCTGAACCCCTGGCTGATTGGGACCCAGACCCAGTTTCACACCTTGGCTCAGGCGATTAGAGGATCATCAAGGGGTCCTTTTGTCCCTCTGTGGGGGGTCACTCCCACTAGGTTTATATCTGGGACTCTCCACCATTTGACCTTAGAACTAAAGAAGCTTCTCGGATGAGAAGTGAAACGTCTTCAAGTAACTTAAAGAAGTCCAGACGCTTTTCTTTGCAAGCTCCTTTGACTACGATGACCTGGATGACTGAGAACCTTCACAGACAAATAAAAAGGTCATTTTTCTGTGATTTTTAATGTTCCATATGCCTTCTTTTATCAAACAAAAAACATTAGGAATAATAGAGAGACTGATTTTATTTATAAAGCGCCAAGTCACCACAGCAGATGCCTCAGCGCTCTTTATATTACGAAGGAAAGACCCTGTGATAATACAGGTAAAAACCCAGATGAACCCTATGAGCAAGAACTTGGTGACAGTGGGAAGGACAAACTCCAGGTAGAAACCTCCAGGAGTCCAAAGTCAGCTCTTAGTAAAAATAAAATGCTGTACATACTGTAGACCGTGAGAGGTTTTGGTATCACTCTGCTCGGCACCGTTCAGCGTTCTGTTGAGACGCTGCTGCTACGGCAACACTGGGAAAGTGACAGTTGTATTTGATCCCTATTTTTTTCAGTTCGTGCGCCTGAAAGACTGATGGCTCATGTGCTGGCAAGGCTGTCCGTACTCCTCTTACAGTACTGGTCAGAATTTAATTAAGCTGACACACAGTGATCATCTGATGGGTCTTCAACCACATTGTTCTCAAGGTTAAAGTCCCATTTGTCACTGTCAATTAATTTGAATTCTCATTCGTTTGTGCAGTACAGCGAATAAATGACAAGGAAACTTTGTAGTAACCTATGAGTGGTGACAGATGAGCTTCTAGATCCCTGACATTTTGGTTTTGGGGATTTTGTGATTTATTTTCCTGATTTATTATGTAAAATAACTTTGCTGTTTTTAAGCTCTTCTTAAGCTCTTAGAGACAAATATCTGACACTATTTGCTTCATCTTATTCACTATTATGATTCAACTAGGCTCACACTGAGTGATGCTGATATGCAACTACAGTAATGTGTCACCATCACCTCACCTCCATTTAGCACCATTAATAATCAGGTGTATTGGAGCTGTTCAACACTTGTAGTAGTTGAACTCTTAAATTCATGTAGCCTTGGTTGAATTGTTGGAACTCCTGGTAGCTATTGACCATACTTCACCATAAGTACTCTGTTTTATATATTAGGACAGACACCCTGAGTATAGCGACTTTAACTCAATGTTATTGTGTTTTTAAGAAGCTTCCGTGGAGTTGTTGGGGCACAAAGTCTGAATTTTCAAATTGTTTTTGTGCAAATGAGGCAGAATAATGTGTCTGATCATTTTGTTGAGGCATGTTCAAAACAGCATTTAATAGCCTGAAAGCTGCGCTGCGATTGCAGATCAAGACGTGAGGTTGATCTGAAGGTGTTTAATCTGGCAAGCTCCAAATCTAGCAGTGTTCTGCTTGACCACTGCCCAAGTGTGTAACGGAGAAAGTCGGATTGATTAGAATTGCTGCTGGCAAGTCACCCATGAGGAGGATTGATCTCCAATTGGTCACGTTTTGGCCAAGTGAGTGTTGACAGCTCACTGCTGTGATGCCACTGGCTGTCGATACACAAGCTCTCTTTCACTTCATCCGTCTTCTTCACTTTTCTTCCTCCTTTTACTTTTCCATCTCTCA